GACAACTACGACCACGACACCGACGACGACGACGATGGCGGCGGCGACGAAGACGACGACGAAGACGACGACGACGACGTTGGCGGCGGCGGCGACGACGACGAGGACCATCACGACGACGACGAAGACGAAGACGACAACGACCCCGACGACGGTGACGAAGACGACGACAACGCCGTCTGGGGCGACGACGACGACGCCGACGACTACGACGACGACAACGCCGTCGAAGGCGACGACGACGACGCCGACGACGACGACGACGCCGACACCGCCGACGTCGCGGCGGCTGCGGCCGCGACGACGACGACGACGAAGATCACGACGACGGCGACGGCGACGACGACGACGGCACCGACGATGACGACGGCGGTGGCGACGACGACGCCGACGACGACGACGATGACGAGAACGACGACGACGACGAAGACGACGACGTCGACGGCGACGTGACGATGACAACGACGACGACGAGGACGACGACGACGACGGCGGCGCCGACGACGACAACGACGATGACGACGGCGACGACGCATCGACGACGACGGCGACGGAGACGACGTCGACGGCGACAAGGTCGACGTCGACGACGACGCCAACGACGACGACTAGGACGGTAACGACGACGACGAAGCCGACGATGACGACCACGACGACGGCGGCGACGGCGACGGCGACGACGACGACGATGGCGACGACGTCGACGACGACGCCGACGACGACGGAGCCGACGACGACGACGACGACGACGGCGACGACGAAGACGAGGACGACGCCGGCGGCTGCGCTGGCGGCGACGACGACGACGACGAAGCCGACGACGACGGAAACAACGACGAAGTCTCCGACGGCGACGACGCCGTCGACAACGACGAAGACGACGACGCCGACGCAGACGGCGACGACGACGACGCCGACGACGGTAACGACGACGCGGCGGCGGCGGCGACGGCGACGACGACGAAAACGAGGACGACGACGACGACGACGCCGACGACGTCGACGACGACGGCTTTGGTGACGATGGCGACGACAGCGACGAAGACGACGGTGACGACGACGACGACGATGACGACGACGGCGACGATGGCGACGGTGGTGGCGACGTCGCTGACGACACCGACGGCGACGACGCCGACGACGCCGACGACGACGACGACGAAGCCAACGACGACTAGGACGGTGACGACGACGACGAAGACGACGAGGGCGACTACGAAGACGACGATCGCGGCGGCGGCGGCGGCGACGACGACGACGACGACGACGATGCCGACGCCGACGGAAACGACGACGAAGTCGCCGACGACGACTATGACGAAGACGACGACGCCAACGCCGATGGCGACGACGACGACGCCGACGACGCCGACGACGACATCGACGAAGGCGGTGGCGGCGGCTGCGGCGACGACGAAAGCGAGGATAACGACGCTGACGACAACGACGCCGACGACGTTGACGACGACGGCTTTGGTGACGATGGCGACGGCGACGGCGAAGACGACGGAGACGATCACGACGACAACGACGACGACAACGGCGGCTGCGACGACGACGACGCCGACGACAACGCCGAGGACGACGACGACGACGACGGCGGCGACGACGCCGACGACGAAGACGACGACGGAGACGACGACGACGCCGACGGCGACGACGACGACGACGACAACGACGAGGGCGGCGGTGGCGGCGGTGGCGACGACGACGACAATGACGAAAGCCAGGATGACGACGCCGACGACGACGAAACCGAGGACGACGAAGACGGCGTTGGCGGCGGTGGCGACGGTGACGACGACAAAGCCGACGACGATGGCGGCGGCGACACGATGGCGGCGATGGTGGCGACGCCGACGATGACGACATCGACGACGACGACACTGACGACGACGACGATGGCGGCGGCGACGAAGACGACGACGAACACGACGGCGACGACGACGACGTCGGCGGCGGCGGCGGCGACGACGACGAGGACGATCACGACGACGACGAAGACGACGACGACAACGACCCCGACGACGGCGACGAAGACGACGACAACGCCGTCGAAAGCGACGACGACGCCGGCGACGACGACGACGCCGACACCGCCGACGTCGCGGCGGCTGCGGCCGCGACGACTACGACGACGATTAAGACGACGACGACGGCGACGGCGACGACGACGACGACGCCAACGACGACGACGCCGAGGACGGCACCGACGACGTTGCCTTCGACGACGACGCCGACGACGACAACGATGACGAGAACGACGACGACGACGCCGACGACGAAGGCGACGACGATGACGACGGCGACGGCCACGATGACAACGACGACGACGACGAAAACGGCGACGACGACGGCGACGCCGACGACGACAACGACGATGACGACGGCGACGACGACGGCGTCGACGACGACGGCGACGGAGACGACGACGACGGCGACGACGTCGACGACGACGACGACGCCAACGACGACGACTAGGACGGTGACGACGACGACGACGCCGACGACGACGACCACGACGACGACGGCGTCGACGACGACGGCGACGACGACGACGACAGCAACGTCGACGACGAAGCCGACTACGACGGAGCCGACGACGACGACGACGACGACAACGGCGACGACGCAGACGACGACGACGCCGGCGGCTACGCTGGCGGTGACGACGACGACGACGAAGCCGACGACGACGGAAACGAGGGCGAAGTCTCCGACGGCGACGACGCCGTCGACGACGACGAAGACAACGACGCGGGCGGCGACGGCGACGACGACGACGCCGACGACGGCAACGGCGACGCGGCGGCGGCGGCGACGACGCCGACGACGACAGCGACGAGGGCGGCGGCGGCGGCGACGACGAAAATGCGGACGACGACGCCGACGACGACGACGCCGACGACGTCGACGACCACGGCTTTGGTGACGATGGCGGCGGCGGCGACGAAGACGATCGTGACGACGACGACGATGACGACAACGACGACGGCATCTGCGACGACGACGCCAAAGACGCCGACGACGACGACGAAGACGACAGTGCCGACGACGACGACGACGTCGACGACGATGAGACGACGACGCCGACGGCGACGACGACGACGACGACGGCGGCGACGACAACGACGAGAGCGGCGGCGGCGTCGACGATGACAACGACGAAAACGGGGACGACGACGTCGCCGACGACGACGGCGACGTCGACGACGACGCCGACGACAACAACGACGACGACGCCGACGACGACGATGACGGCGGCGAAGAAGACGACGAAGACGACGAAGACGACGACGACGACGACAACGGCGACGGCGACGACGACGACGACGAGGACGATCACGACGACGACGACGAAAACGACGACGACGAAGACCCCGACGACGGATACTAAGACGACGACGCCTTCGACGGTGACGACGACGACGCCGACGACGACGACGACGCCTGCAGCGCAGACGACGACGGCGGCGGCGGCCGTGACGATGACGACGACGCCAACGACGACGACGACGGCGACGGCGTCGACGACGACGGCGATGGAGACGACGACGCCGACAACGGCGCCGAGGGCGACGACGACGACGATTACGACGGCGACGGCCACGATGACAACGACGACGACGACGACGACGTCGAGGACGACGACGACGGCGACGCCGACGATGACGATGACGACGGCGACGACGACGACGGCGACGAATAGGACGTCGGCGACGACGGCGATGGCGACGACGACGGCTATGACGTCGACGGCGACGACAACGACGCCAACGACGACTTCTAGGATGGTGATGACGACTAGGACGCCGACGACGACGACGAAGATGACGACGAGGACGAAGGCGACGGCCACGGCGACGACGAGGACGCCGCCGATGGCGACCACGACGACGACGACGACGACAACGACGACGACCCCGCCGACGGCGGCTGCGACGACGACGACGACGCCGACGACGCCGACGACGACGCCGACGACGACGAAGACGACGACGACGACGGCGGCGACGACGACGACGACCACGGCGACGACGATGGAGACGACGACGACGACGACGCCAACGGCGAACACGACGCCGACGACGACAACGACGAGGGCGGCGGCGGCGGCGGCGACGACGACAACGACGAAAACGGGGACGACAACGACGTCGATGACGACGACGACGCCGCCGACGACGACGACGACGGCGTTGGCTGCGGTGGCAGCGATGAGGACGACGCCGACGACAACGACGACGACAACGTTGACGACGGCGACGATAGCGGCGGCGACGACGGCGACGACGACGAAGACGACGATGACGACGACCGCGACGACGACGAGGACGAGGACGACGACGACGATGGCGAAGACGACGACGACGACCCCGACGACGGCGACGAAGTTAACGACGACGCCGGCGACGGCGACGACGACGACACCGACGACGACGACGACGCCGACGACGCCGACGACGACGGCGGCGGCGGCGGCGACGACGACGACGACGAAGACGACGACGACTGCGACGGCGATGACGACGACGCCGACGACGCCAACGACGACGACGCCGACGACAGCGCCGACGACGACGACGATGCCGACGACAACGATGACAACGACGATGACGAGGACGACGACGACGACGCCGACGACGAACGCGACGACGACGACGACGGCGACGGCCACGATGACAACGACGACGACGATGACGACGACGGCGACTCCGACGACGACGACGATGACGACGACGACGACGACGGCGACGAAGACGACTCCGACGACGACGGCGACGGCGGCGACGACGCCGCCGACGACGTCGACGGCGACGACAATGACGCCATCGACGACGAGTAGGACGGTGACGACGACGACGACGAAGACGACGAAGACGACGACGACGACGACGACGACGACGACGACGACGACGACGACGACGACGACGACGACGACGACGACAACGACGACGACGGTGGCGGCGGCGGCGGCGGCGGCCGTGCCGAATCCCGAGGAGGGGCTCGATGCAGCCGCGCGCGCGGGCCGAGAGCTCGCGGACGTCGGCCAGGCTGCGGTGAGGGGTTAGTCACCGCTCCTGCGTCTGGCTGCCTCCCCGGGGCCCATGTCGGTTCGATCGATCCGGTTCCATACGGTGTGACCTTGTCAAGGAGTGTACCCAGGGGGCTTCAGACCTTGGAGCGTTCCTCATCCGATGATGGCAGCGGTCTTGGCGTTCCACTGGCTTCTAGATTTTGGAGTCTTGCCCAAGGGTTCCTCATCCAATGCCCTTTCTGCGGCCCAGAATGGCCTCTCTAAAGGCATCGTGCCTGGGGGCGGCAAGCGGCAGCTCAGTGCGCTGGTGTCGCCTCTGGTCCAGACTCGAGTGTAATGGGCGAGCGCCCTCGGTGTCACGGCAGGCCTTCAGTCTAGTCGGCTGTCGGCTGCCCCAGGCTCCGAGGTATCACCTGAGGAGGCGATCGAGCGAGGCCGCAAGGCGGTTCAGTCCAGGGCCGAGCGAGCGGCCAGAACTGCACGGGAGAGGTAGGGCCCGTAATCTTCTTATCCTTGGCGGGGATTTGGCGACCCGCCAAGTATGGCTGGGCCACCACGGTGCGCGTGGACAGGCGGGGAGGTGGTGACCCGCCGAGAGTGCAAGGGCCACCAGCGAGGATTCTGCTGATGCGTGCAAGTCTTCGGACGCGGAGAGATAAACAAATGTCCTCACTGCATTGCCTTCGATCGGCCCGATCCGATCCGGTTCCGATCTTCCGACCTTCCGATGCAGCCCGATGCTCTGCATGGCTTTGCTGTGCAGCCTGGCGCGGTCGATGCGGTTCGCTTCCGGCTCCGCGCCCGTGCGGCCCGATTCAATGCATGATGCGATCCGGTCCATTTCCCCGATTCGATGCTGACCGCTCCTGTCTCCGCCTTCTCCTGCCCAGACCTCTTTCCCGTGTTCGAACATGGGATCCAGGACGGAAGCCTGCTCCAGCGGGACCGCTGGGGCCGCGCGCTGCAAAACACATGCGTCCTGCTCGCATCCTTCCTCCCCTATCTCTTTCGCAGGCCCCCAGGCCGTGACCTCACGGATACGGGGCATTTTTTTCCGCGGATGCACCGCGCGGAACGTAGTTCGCTATGCGACCGCGTATCCGCGGGATCGCTCCCCGGAATCCAGACCGCGAAGATCTGGATATGGATACGTTGGCCGTTCGCGACGAAGTTCGGCCCCGGACCTCTCCCGTCCACGCTCGTCTCCGCCCTGGCCGCCATGGCTTCCCTTGCCCCCTCGATCCCCGGACCCTGGCCCTCTCCCTTTCAGCTCGACGCGAGATCCTCGAACTTCGAGCCTCGAAGTGCGTCACTCGAACCTCTCCCCGCCCGCCCCAGCCCTGGCCCGCCGTGGCCTCCCGTGCCCACCCCCCCCTGCCGCCCAGGCCGCCGCGTCCGCGCTCGCCGAGCGGTGCCTGGCAGATCTGAGGACCGCCCCCTGGGACGCGGCGAGGGGGACGAAAGGCGGGCGGCAGGCGAGGAGGGAGCGGCGCCAGCGGGAGCCCGGACATGCTCGCGCCGTAGCGAGAGAGAAACACGAAAGTTGCGCCGTTTGGGCCCTGGGGGACCTTCGACAGCCCCCAGGGCCTTCAAAAAATTAGTCGGGATGAGACACTGGCCCCAGGGAAAGACTACGTCGGGACTTCTCGGACCCCTGTATTGAAATTCTCAGGACGTCGCACGTCTGGAAGCCCAGAGCTCTGGGCATACGTAGCGCCCGCGATTGCGGATTGGAGTGAATGGGGCGGGCGCGGGGTGGGTCGCGGGGTGGGTCGCGGGGTGGGTTGCGGGGTGGGTCGCGGGGTGGTCGCAGGGAGGGTGAGGTCGCAGGCGAGGAGGTGGCGGCGCCAGCGGGAGCCTGGACATGCTCTCGCCAGGGGGAGGGGTTGCGCCGATTTGGGCCTCGGAGGGGGGGCCCTCGCCGGGCCCCAGGGCCCACAACAAATTTATTCGGGATGCAACGTTGGCCCCAGGGAAAGGTTACGTCGGGACTTGTCGGGGCCCCATATTGAACAATCAAGCGATCGCAGGTCTGGGAGCACAGATCTCTGAGGATGCGCCCCACGATTGCGGATACGAGTGACGGGGCGGGCGGAGGATTGGTCGCGGCTGGGTCGCGGCTGGGTCGCGGCTGGGTCACGGCTGGATCGCTGGGTGGGTCGCGGGGTAGATCGCGTGTGGGGGGGTCGCAGGCGAGGAGGGGGCGGTGCTGGCGGGAGCCCAGATCTCCGAGGATATGACAGACAGACGGACAGACGCCGTGCACGTCAGAGGTGCGATGGCAACATAGTGGAAAAACAATGATTGAGTGAAACCAAAAGCGTGCTCATCATTGTGCCCGAGGAGGAGGAGAAGGAAGAGGAGAAAGAGACGAAGAGTATCACGACTCCTATACAGGAGCCCAGCTGATCTTGGGAAACAAAACCTGAACAACCCCTCACGAGTTCTCGGCGGGACGTGAGGATCTTTAGTCGAGCGTCTGATTCAGAAACTTCCGCCCGAAAAGCTGGAACAGCGTTTCTTAGCCCAATCGCCGAAAGGCTTGCCCAGGTTTTTGTTAGCAAGCTCGCTCCTCCAGCGTCAGCAACAGAACCTCTGGGAAGCTGGCCCCATCTTTCTTAAGCTATATGTTTCTTGACCACAGTTTCGGCTGTATGTTTTTGTCGATCCTGGCGTTGGGGGCCCGCTTCAAAATTCACCTGCGCGTTTGGGATCATGTCTGGGTGCCCCCTCGCCCGCACACCTCGACGCGCTGGCCTCTCAACTCTGGATGGCTTGGGCAAGGTCCCCTCGGGGCGATGCCCACTTTGTTTCGTGACTCGGGGTCCAACTTGTAGGCTCGCTGTCGGGCTCCCGGGACCATCAAAAAAGGTACCCTGGGTGCAAAATTGCCCCTGGGGAAGGGGTCAAGAGCTCTCCAGCTACCAATTGACAAAAAGTCATATCGGAGGTAGTCGTCTGGGAGTAGGGGGAGGAGGAGGAGGAGAAAGAGGAGGAGGAGGAAAAGTTGGGGAGGAGGAGGAGGAGGAGGAGGAGGAGGAGGAGGAGGAGGAGGAAGAAGAGGGGGAGGAGGAGGAGCACGAGGGGGAGGAGGGGGAAAGTTGGGTGGGCAGGAAGGGGATGGGGGCGGAGGAAACGGTGGGCGGGAGGACCGGCGAGAAGGAGGGGAAGGGGGAGGCGGGGGTGCTGGGAAGGTCGAGGAAGGGTGCAGGAGGAAGGGCATAGGGGGGAAGGGGAAGGGGATGAGGCGCAGGAAGTGGCGCAGGATGGGGAGGAGGAGCTAACTATCCGTTGAGCTGTCCGAAAAGACGAAGAGGAAGACAAGTAGGACGGTGAGGAGTCGACGGAGCACGAGGACCCAGATATCCGGCGCTCCATTTGTAGTTGCGGTGGCCCACAGAGGTCTTGACTACTTCCCTGGGGCTGGCTTTTTATCCTGAGTCGTTGTTTGACGGTCCTGTGGCCCGCTGAGAAACCTTCGGGAGCCAGAAATAAGCCCAAACTGGCCGCTCCTTTTTTCCGTATCCATTTTGGCTCAAGGTCCCTCGCGGGCCCGCGGGCGCGCTTTTCCACCTTTACGCGCGGGCGCGTGCCCTTCGGGTGCTCTGCCCGCGCGGGTAGCCGGCGGCAGGCCGGCCCCCCACGACCGGGAGCCAATGACGGGCGCCGGCGGCGCTTTCGTGCCGCCCTCGGAGAAGGAGGCTCTGCTGCAGAAGGCGGGCACGCTAGCCGACGATGCTCGGAAGGCCGCCGACATGCAGCGGTCAGTGAGTTGCTTCGAGCGCGCGCTGTATATTAGGCGGCGTTTTTTTTGTTGACGCGTTTTAGGAGGTGGCGCAGGCTTGCCGGCAGCTCTGCGAGGCCTATAAAGTCGCGGCCACGGGCATGCTCCAGAAGGAGAAGCTCCAGGGGGCCACGACCTGCTCAAGCGGGCGGAGCAGTTGGCCGAGACAAGCGGCGTCGACCGCGCCGTCGCGTGGAACAACATGGCGTGTTGTTTGCGTGTTGTTTCAGGAGAGTCGGCAAGCTCTGGGCGGCGATGACCTTGGAGCGCGCGCTCCAGGTGGAAGAGCACATGTACAGCGCCGACGCGGCGCAGACGCACCTCAACCTGCGTGCCACCCTTTCGCAGCTTCGCCGCCATGATGCCGCCAGATACCACGCGCAGTGCGCCCTCATCCGCGTCTATGAGAAACTGTCGCCCTCCATGATGGGTGGCGAACTCGGTGGAGCGGTAGGAGGCGAACTCGGAACCGAAGGAAGCCGTCACCGTGTTATGCATCGCGTACCACAAGCTTGCGGTGGAGCGCCAGCATCTGCGGACTTCGCGCAGGGCCTGCGGTGGGCATCCAGGTGCTTGCCCGCGAACCATGACCTCACGAACATATTGAAGTCCTCGTCGAGGCAATCCAGGTCAAGCTTCCTGCTGCACCAGCTGCGCTGGGGCGAGCGGTCGAGCTCCTGAAGGGGCTCCCGAGCGGTGACCAGACGTTGGACGCCCATCCCGAGGGCCCGCCGGTGGGCCTCGGGCACTCGGGGGGCCTCTTGACGCCAGAGGGGGTGCGCCGCGGCGGAGGAGGCGCAAGGGGTTGCCGCCGACGACGAGTTCCCCAATGACCCATCCGTGGCGGACGCGCCACAGGCGTAAATGCTGTCTGGCGGGGACGCGGACGCCTCAGCAGCCAGCGGTCTGAGCGGGGGGCATTTCGCCATGCGGCTCGGGCTTGCCAGCGCCCCGGGTCGCGGGTGCCCCGCGAAAAATGGACGCTCGGGGAGCGGCGGCGTGTGGCGGTGCGGCACAACGAAAAACGGCTGCTATATTCTTGCCGAGCGTTGAATCTAGGGAGGAGGAGGAGAAGGAGGAGTAAGAGGAATGGGAGGAGGAGGAGGAGGAGGAGGAGGAGGAGGAGGAGGAGGAGGAGGTGGAGGAGGAGGAGGAGGAGGAGGTGGAGGAGGAGGTGGAGGTGGAGGAGGAGAAGTTGGAGCAGGAGGAATAGAAGGATAACGACGTGGAGGAGGAGGAGGAGGAGCAGAAGGAGGAGGAATTCGCTGGAATTCGCTGGAATCCACGGGGTGGCAGCGAACTCAGCGATCCTCAATCAGAACGCCAGGCGGTGGCCCACGGAGGACGGCCTCTCGCCTGACAATGCCCAGGTCACGGGCCTGGGTCGTCTTGGACGGCCCCGCGTGGCTGGGAAAAAGCCTTTCTGAATTCGCTGAAGGTTCTCCGTGCCGGAAGGAGGAGGAGGAGGAGCACAAGGAGGATGAGGAGGAGGAGCAGGAGGAGTTGGAGGGAGAGAGGGGGCGGCAGCGGAAGCCCCGCCAGAGCGAGCGACCCGCAGCAGCCTGGGCGCCGAGCTGCGGGGCGCGCTCGAGCAGCAGCGCCAGGGGCTCCTGGGCGAGGTCGTTGGCTGCCGCGAGGGCCTGGCGGGGAAGCGCGTCGTCGTCGTCGTCATGGTCGTCGCCGTCGTCTTCGTCGCCTGCGTGTTCGTCGTCGTCGGCGTGGTCGTCTTCCTCGCCACCGCCGTCGTCGTCACCGTCTTCGTCGCCGTCGTCGTCGTCGTCGTCGCCGTCGTCGTCGCCGCCGCCTTCGTCGTCCTCGTCCTCGTCCTCGTCCGCGTCCGCTCCTGGGCGAGGTCGTTCGCTGCCGCGAGGGCCTGGCGGGGGAGCTGCAGGCGGAGGCGCCCGCCCGTCTGCCGCGCCCGCCATGGCCAGGGAGGTCTCTGCAGCGTACTCGCTTCGCGGCGTGAGCTGATGTTCCGTGATGCGCGTTCCTCTGACGGGAGAAAACTCAAAACTAGTAAGAAATAGTATGGGGACGATTATTTGACCATGTTTACCTTTTTTTAACTATTTTTAACTATTTATTAGACCATTCACCTTTTTAATTATTTTTTACCATGTTTACCTTTTGACCATTTATTAGTCATTCTGGGGTAGTTTTAACTATTTTTACTTTTCGTCCCCCCTGCAGGGGGACGGGTCCGAAAGCTACTGCGATCGCTTTTCGCGAGCTTCGCTGCCTCATCCCGGCGCCGGCGCGTCGTGCGCGCGCTGTGCCGTCTGAGGCCCGCAGGGCTGGGCGCGCGTCTTAGGCCTCCCCGCCCTTCCGTTTCCCTCCCCTCCCCTCCCTCCCTCCCTCCCTCCCTCCCTCCCCTCCCTCCCTCCCTCCCTCCTCCTCTTCCCTCCCTCCTTCCCTCCCTCTCCCTTCCCTCCCTCCCCTCCCTCCCTCCCTCCTTCGTTCCCCCTTTTGCGTTTTTTTTTTTTCGTTGCCATTCCCCTCCTCCAACACGCATCGTCTCCAAAGCGCCTTTGTTGACACGCTGCGTGTGGGCTCGGCACGTGCTGGGCCACATTTGGGCGAACGCCTCGCGCCAGACGTACGTTTTCAATATACGTGCGCAGCTCCTTGTCAACACGCCACGGGTTGCGAGCCGTGTATCGGGGCAGCCCGGTTCCCCAGCGTTTGTGGAGCTCTGAGGGCGTTCGGGGAGTGCCCACATCGTCCCAAACGGTCGCCGGGGGCGACGTTAGGGGGGATTGGCTCGGGGGGGCGCATCGATCCCCGATCGCCCATTCATCGCCGATGGGGGTCTGACAGCCTACCCCGCCCAAGAGCGTGCGGTTCCGCCATCGGGGCCCTGCCGGCGATCTACCGCCGATGTGTCCCCCCTGAGCCAGCCCCCCAAGACGTTGCCCGATCGAAGGGGGGGGTTCGAGGCTTGAGGTTGTAGGGCGTTTTCGACTGGCTTCGGCTTTCGATCATCCTTGTGATGGTTTCCAGCAGCTGTTCCTGAAACCCGGGTCATGACCCGCAAATCCAGCGACAAGGCGCATTCGGGCTGGACGAAAGGAGGTCAGAGGGAAAGAGAGCGCTTTGGGGAAGGGCAGTGCTCTGCCGAGGATACATCACATCCTTGCCTCCCGTCCGGCGTTAGCATCCTGTATCTTCCCGACGGCTCCCGACTGCACGCGTGACGTGCCCATTGTGCAAGGGCATGGGCTCGTGCCTTTGTATAAAAAGAGAGCCAACGAGCAACAAGGGGAAACAGCATCCTCCTGCTCCTTACTACTTTCCGCAGGTGCGACGAACTTGTTTTTGAAGACGGGACGTCCCCGGAAGTCACGAACATCTCCCAAGGGACGGCTTCTCAGTCACCAGGGGTGGTGGTTCGATTTGAAGGGTCCCCGGGCCCTGCGAGTGCACGTTGAGGTCGAAAATTTGAGACAACAACAAAAAAAAAAGCGCAGCATCATCATTTTGCGAGTGCCGACGTTGGCGTCCTGGGTCTGCGTACATCTTCCCCAGTGCTCTGCGAGCCACGCGGCGACGCTCCTCTGGGGGCGGCCAAGGGGGGTGGGGGGCAAGGGGTGGAGGGGGGGATGCTATGGCCAAGACCATGCTATCATCCTGTGTTTCGGGCCCCCTCCCCGCTTACGCACGCTCCTTTGCCCCCCCCCCTTCCCCCCGGGCTGTGTACGTGCCTCGAGCCATGATCTGCGACCACCCCCCGCCTCCCGAACCTGCGCCCCAGGCGCAGCGGAGGCAGCAGGAGCGCGACAGCACGGCGGCCAGCCATGCGGAGGAGATCGCCGCCCTGCGGGCGGAGTGCCGCGGGCTTAGGCGGGGACCGCGGCACGGGTGCGCTGTTGGAGGTCGTCGGAGGCTTCCGTTCGTTAGTGGGGGCTCGTTCCCCCCCAAGATTCGAGGAAGAACAAGCGTAGGCTTTCGGAGCTCCGCGCGATTTCCTCGGATCGGCGCCGGGCCCTTCTGACCGCGCCTCTGGCGCCGCTCCTGGCGCGCTCCCCGCGCCAGGGCAGGGAGTGAGTTCCAGCGCTGATCCAGGAAATGTGTGCCAGCCTCCAAAAGGGTAGGTTTACGCAGATTGTTTTCTTATCGAAATATGTTTTTTTTCAGCAGAGTCGCCGACAGCGCTTCAGGAGTGCGTGCCCGAATCGTCCCGAGGAGCTGGAAGAGGCGCTGGGAGGCCCGTCTTGAAAGCTGGCCGAAAGCCCGTCGGCTTCAAGCTTGGGCTGCAGTCGATTGCGTCACATCGTAACCCTAGGATGCAATCGGTGAACCTCCGCCCCCTCCCCGTCAGAGGAAAACAACAACGCCTCTGGCACCAGGGCCGGGGCGCAAGGGCCGGAGTGGAAGCGATATCCCCCGCGGGGGCTCGCGATCCAAGATCCTTTTTGGGCGGGCGGGCGGGCGGAGCAGGAGGAGAGTTCCGACGACGGGCGTCCGATGGATTCCAGTACGTTCCCCCGCCAGGCGATTCGAGCTGGGGTCCTACCCGAGATGGGTGAAGGGAGAGTAGGGTCAGCTTCGTGTGGGGAACACTGAAATGTCTCAAGGGGCATATGGCTTGTATGAGATGGGCGAACCTATGTTCGCGATGCTTGGTTAGATTTTGAGTATTACGTCTTTTGTTTGCTAACTGTGTCTAACCATAAATGCTTCATATCATCACTGGTCAAATAGATTAGGTCTGGTATGTCGAATACTTCTGAGTCGGTAGCCATCGAAATTCTTCAGTAGAAGCGTGTGCTCACAATAAATCTGTACATGTGTAGAAATACGCATATTTCACAGTAGTGGTTGCTATGCTGCACTCTTTGATTATTTGTTACCACGTTTTTAAATACAGTGTTATGCTTACTACCTTATCTTCGTGGTTTGAATATGTGGCGGCTCTCTCATCGAATCCCTTGAAATGATCAATTTCTGCAGTAGGGTCGCAACTTTGATTCCCAATGTCCACGCCAGCCCACATCGTCCAACTTCCTTTGCATCATCTGGGGCTTCTGTTTTGAGTATCCGTTGATACTATTTGTTTTGTTGTCTGGCATTTCTCGAGGCAAAACGGATCATTAATTCGAAACTCTTCGCGCATCCCCGCCAACCCATCCAGAAACGGTGTCCAGGCGAGTTGAGGTGATCAGGGAAGTGCAGAAGCAAAGAGGTGGACGGCCGAACCGTGCGAAGGAGGGAGGAAGAGAAGGAGGAGGCGGGATGGATGGATGAGGGAGTGAGGAGAATGAGGATGAATATGATGCTGATGCTGATGATGATGATGATGCTGATACTGATGATGATACTGCTGATGATGATGCTGATGCTGATGCTGCTGCTGCTGATGCTGATGCTGATGCTGCTGCTGCTGCTGATGATGATGATGATGATGATGATGATGATGGTGGTGGTGGTGGTGGTGGTGGTGGTGATGATGATGATGAGGAGGAGGAGGAGCAGGAAGAGAACGAGTAGGAGGAGGAAGGAGGAGTAAGAGGAGGAAGACGAGCACAAGGGCCAGAGTTCTCTTGGATGCCTCTTGGAGCCTCTTGGGATATCTCTTGGGCGCTTCTTGGTGGCCTCTTGGGACGGCTTGGGGATCTCTTGGCGGTCTTGGGGGGCTCTTGGGCGTCTTGGGTGCCTGGGGGGGCCTCTTGGGGCCGCTTGGGGTCCTCTTGGGGACCTCCTGGGGGCCTCTTGGGGCCTCTTGGGGCTATCTTGGGGCCATCTTGGGGCCTCTTGGGGCCTCCTGAGCGCTTCTTGGGGCCATCTTGGAGGACATCGATCAAAGAAGACGGGAGCTTCAATTAGGGTTGCCCCCCCAAGAGGCCAAATTGGAGCCAACACCCTAGTTAAACGAATGATTTTGGCTTCCTCGCCGAGGCCGTTTTGGACGCTCTGACCGCTCGCGACCGGCCCCGTCCAGGTCCAGGGGCGGGGATAGGGGGAGGGGTCAAGACTTCTACAAGGAGCAGGCCGTGTAGCTCACTCCCACCCGCCCTCCCAACATAATTGACACTGGGCCAAAGGATCAAAGGTTTGAACCCCCGAAGAGGCTCTGTCAAATGCCAATGCAAAGGTCCCGACGGGACAATCGTAGTCCGCTGCTGTTGTCAGGGCTGCTGGTGCTATTTCTGTTGTTGCTGGTGCCGGTGCTGCTGGTGTTCCCTCGGGGTCCTCTTCGGGATATGTTGCGGTGGTGTTGGGAGGTATTCGGGTCCTCTTGGGCCTCTTTTGGTGGGTCTTCGGTTTTAGGGCATTCTGGAGGGCCTCTCGGATGCCCAGGAGAGCCTCTTGGGACCAGCCTTGACGACCACCCGCGGCCACAAGGCAGGTGGGATCTGCCAGCACCCCGGCCGTCCTTATAAAACATCAATATGAAGTGGTCGCGGGGCGGCCGCGCATGCTCTGAATGTGGAGACAGCGTGTGTTTTTAATTGTGTTTTGACAGGAATGGTGGGTGGGAGGGGCATTGTTCTTGGTTGGTCGCCAACCGGATGGGGGAGGGGGTGTTTATTAATAGGGAACAGTGATCAAGACACCCACCCGCTCGCAAGCCGTCTAGCTCACTCCCACCCGCCCTCCGTACACATAAGTAACACCCAAGCCTGAGCATGTTCAGCGGTCGTCTTTGGATGGACAGCTACTGGGAACCAAAGCCGACCCCAGGTGCGCGACGTTTGGGCGAGGTGCGTCACGCGTGCCAGGGGCGCCACGCGCGCCAGGCACCCCTGGGGCCCGAGCGTGCCAGACACGCCTGGTGCGCCAGATGCGCCACGTGCTCCGAGTACGCCAGGTGTGCCGCACACTCCAGCCGCGCCAGGTGCGCCGCGTTCGGGGCACGTGCAGAGTGCGTCAGGTGCGCCTGCGCACGCGACAGCACAAATCGGGAAACATGTCGGCCCCCGCTATTCTTGTCGAACACCGATGCCCATCATTGTGCCTGCTGGGCCTGCGCACAGCAGGCCACGCGCCACCACCCCCGCCGCCCCTGTCAAAAACCACTTGACAGTGATCGCGGGATGGCCGCGCATGATCCAGATTTAGCCGCGAGGTGCATGTTGTATTTTTTTTGTCATGGATGGTATCCCTGCGCACTGCAGGGAATATGCTGACACCCCCGCCGCCCTTTTCAAACAAAATACCAAGTGCTCGCGGGCCTCACGAACATGACCCAAGACTTTGCCCCAAAGTGCACAATGAAATGATCTTTGACAGGGATGGTGGGGGGGAGGGGCGCATCGGGTTGGCCGCGCATGCTCCAAATGTGGAGGCAGAGTGCGGCTTGTATTGTTTTTGTTGACCAGGGTGGTGGGGAGCGGGTGGGCATGGTGTCTGCATGGTGCCTGGTTGGCCCCCAGTCGCTTGGGGGAGGGGGTGTACATTGATAAAGAACAGTGGTAAGCCCCTCCCCGAGAGGGAAGAAGGTAGTTGGAAGAAACGCCCCAGACGACCTTACGCCCGAAAGGGCTGGTGGGATCTCCTAAGCTGTGCTTGCACTGAGGGGTCCCTGTCTCTTTTCTGATGAACTCGGCCTGTGGGCCGCTCTGACCGCCATGTGGCCGCCGTCGCCGCCGCGCCGCGGCCCGCCGCCGCGTCTCCGCCCGCTTTGCGTTTTGTTTCGTACCGCACTTGGATCTGCAGTGCTTCGCGTTGCTTCGCGCTGCTTCGCGTCGCCTGGCAATGCCCGGTGTTGCATTTCATTGCGTTCCATGCCTTTGTATTGCTTTGCATCGCTGTTCACTACTGTGCATTGTGTTGCATTGCATTGCTTTGCGTTGCGTTGCATCGGCTTGCGTTGATGTGCATTGTGTGTTCGGTGGTTTGCATTGGTTTGCATTGCTTTGCTTCGCTTTGCAGTGTGTTGCTCTGCATTTCGAGTTGCGATGTGTTGCATGGCTGTATATATTATTGCGTTGCTTCGTGTTGCCTAATATTGTATTTCGTTGGTTTGCACCACGTAGATTGCACAACATGGATTTCACCACCTAGATTGACTGCACCGCATAGATTGCAAGAGACCACCGTTTGGGGTCCACGCCGGCAACCTGGTGTTTTGTTATTCTATGCGCAAAGGGTGTCGCCAGGAGGGCGCCGCCGAAAATAGTAATTCGTGGCAGTTTTGGTGCTAACGGTACCACCGAGGTTTTTTTTGTTGCTTAGGGTAAACCAGTCATTACAGCCGAACATTTGATTAAGACATGTCCGATAATCTCGGCAAGCGTTCCTTGATCAGCCTGCCAGAAAGCTGGCCCAGTTTCTCGAGCACGTTCGCCCTTCCAGCGCCTGCAACAGAAATCTGCCCAGGTTAGTTTCAGGAATCTTCCTGGAAGCTGGCCCAGATCTCTCAGGTAAGAAGTTTACTCTGATCATGCTTTCCCCTGCCATCGTCTTTGGGCCGTGCGGACTGGTCGGCAGGACCTCGTCGCTTATGCGGACATTGCAGGACCTTTTGCGGACCTCGTCGGCAGGTCTTTGGCACGTCGCGGTCGGCG